GTTGATCGATCGAAATTTTTTTCGATATCGATTTTTTCGGATTTGTCAATTTTCCAGTGGGAAATTAATAGCCTTCAAAGTTACTCTCCTCTCGCGGTGTAATCGAATTCCAGAAGCAGCAGGCAGACGCGGTTCGATAAATCGAGAAATCCGTGCCGTTGCTTCTGGAAGGGCGCCAATTATTGGACGGGATAACGAGGATCAGCGGTGACGAAGCGCAGCGGCGCTCGTGCTAAATCTAATTAGATAAACCGATCTTTGCGGATGTCCAATTCTGCGAGTACACAGCCACTAGCTATATGTATAGCGGCGAGAGCAAATATCCTCACTCGTGTACATCGATATATACGTTTATCTCGTGTATCTATGCGCTAATATCTACCGATGTGAAAATAAATCTAAAAGTCACGATGTAAAAGATTAAAAGGGCCGTCAAATTTACGACTATAATCGTTTGGAACGATAGAATTTCTTACTTTTGCCGCGTCGTTGCGAGATATCATCTCGTATCTTGAAAAATCGGATACGTATTAAGATGCATCGGTAAAGATTATTCGAACGCGAGATATTTATATTTCGAAGGCGCATTCATTTAAATTTAATTTTCGTTTTTGAATGTGGAAAGATCGGCAAGTATTAGCGAATTAGCAAAGTTGGAGAACCTCTTTTTTCTATCTAAAACCATCGGTATTTATTCGTATTTACTAACGCATAAGCGATTATCGAGCGAAACTTGTTATCTTTTAGAATTGGAAAAATTGTAAATCGATCGAGAAACGAAGAAGGCGAGGGGATATAAGGAAATTCGGATCGTCTCGATGATTAGAGATTTCGCGTTGCGAGAGATGAGATTGAGAAGGATAACGAAGGAGAACGTAAAAATAAAAAAAACCTTTTTCTTTTTAACGTAGCATGAAAGAGATTAGTGGACGAGTATCAAAGCGGTGAAGTTTACGAAGAGAGCGATGTAAATTGAGATGCGCGAGCGCGAAACGACGAAATACGATATTTCACGGCAGATTTTCGCGAACATTTCGCGATTTTGGTCTATCGACTCATATTCGGAATACGAATCGACGTTAAGAATTCGATAATTGATAAAATTCCGAGAAAGAATGATCGATTCGACTAAGATATTCCTGGTGTCGGAAATATTTAAACGAAGTAACAGTTTTTGCTTCGACGTGTATATTAACGATTGCAAGAGATTCGCGTTGAAAGCGTGAATGAATCGATATATACCCGTCGTAGAGATTAATTTTCACATCGATAAAATTAGAAGTGAATTCTTTCATTCTTGTAGCGTTTCATCGGATAAAAGAGAAAGTAAGCGTAAGAAAGAACGAAAAGAAAGAAAAGAAGGAAAAGAAAGGAAAGAAAGAAAAGAAAAGAAAAGAAAAGAAAGGGAAAAGCGAGAATGAAAAGAAAAGCGCGGATAGAAAGATCCCGAAGGAATCCGAAATAAGCGAAGCGATCTTCGTATTGGTCGTGCTCGTTTTCTCTCGGTACGCCGTTTGCGCTCGAGAACCTGGAACAAAGCTCTTAACTTCCGTAATTTCAATTTCAGATTATTCGTCTCGGTATTGCCGTAATACGGTTTCGCGTGCATTGTCAGCCGTAGCCGTCACCGGATTCGCAGCTGGTGCGGTACAAATTGAATTTCCATGTGGAGGCTGGCTGCTTGACAGTCAGATATGTCGTTACTTCGTCGAGCTTCTATCGATACAAACCGTGGCAAATATTTCATCGTCGATAGTTACTCGAATCCATATATATATATCCTAGTATACGTAGTAGTAAAATAAACGACGAATCTCGTAGACACTTTGATTTCGATCGTTCGCGGATCGAGATAGTTTATTCAAAAACTTTGTTACCAATTTTTTTTTTTTACGTTTTTCAACTAAAGATCGTAAAATTTTTTTTACGATTGCGATTTCTCTCGCGCGACGTATTCCACGAATTCCATCAGCAGCGCGAATAAGAATTAAGATTCGTACATATTACGTTATATTACGTTATATTACGTTGTTCGATACTATGAAGTTACGTTTGTAGTTAGATCGATTCTCGTTGGGTTAAGTTTCCTTCGAATTTCCTCGACAACTTGACATTTCCAGTTTCGATGCAAAATTGAAATATATCGCGCAACGCGTGGAACTCGCTCACCGATTACGTTGGATCATAGTGTCGCATGGTTGACACGATTTTCCAATGTATAATATATAATTTTAAATATAAAGAGGAGAAGGAGTTTGTCGTTTTATAATCGAACCGATAAAAAGTAATAAATCACTTT